CAATCTTTATCCCCAGAATCAAAGAGACACGTACGTGTAAAATGTAAAAACCTTCCAAGTTGCCTTTTTATGGTCGGTTAGCTTCGACTGTCTGAACGTGTGGATGGGTGTAGAGCTTTGCTACGTGTAGTGCACATATACCCACAAAACAACACGGCAGGTCACTTGTTGACAAGTGTTTCCATTGTGTGGTTTCAATCACGTGTGACTGCATAAACACAAGACACATGCACCACGTTACACAGTTAGCCACTGAACTTTCTGACAATCACTTATCTTTCTTGCGTTTTGTTACAAAAATTACACCCCTAAACACGCTAAGAAGCTGGTAACCCAACAGAGTGTTGGTATTGTACGTGTAACTATATAGAGGTACATGTATTTTACATGATTTAGTTTAAACTGTGACAGATTCAGAAATGACATCAGGGTGATATATAATGCCACCTCATGCGCAGAGTTTTCCATGTCATCACTGGTTTTCAGGGGTCCATTCATATGATATTCACAGCCATATAGTTTTCTCATTGGCTCTTAATCTCCTCTTGTTTAGAACCTCTTGCCATCGTTTACCTATAGAAGTATGTAGATGGCACAAAATTCCCCCCTATAATTTAGAATGTGTAATCTCTGCGACACGTGTGATGTTAGCAATGAATTTCATTACATTTTATCTGCCTTTTTTTTCAAAAATTATCGGAAAACATATATCCCAAACCGTTGTTTAAAAAACCAAATGTTTGAATATTTAAGGAATTGTTTAACTGTAAAGAATAAGCGTTTTTTTTATATAAAACTAATACCACCGTATGCCGAGTATCCCGGGCTGAGTACAATAAAAGTTCTGTTCTGCTCTTTACACTAACTGGAATCTATTTATTATGATAGTCAACACATGGCATTATTTCGCACTGACGTTTTATATTCCTTTAAAGCAATCTTGACCTTCTGTTTGTTGTGTTACATGTTCTCAGTTATTGTGCAGGTTGATGTACCAAAGGTTCATTTTGAATGGATGTATTCAACACGGATTGATGAATAATGAACCGTGGACGCACTCGGGAAGATACTTAAGGAATGTTGGTTTACAAGGACACATTGTACCAAAACAAATGCTTCAAAGAACAAAGAAAATTGTGTTTCACTATAGGTCTCTGCTCATTTCTTCACGGTGCCTGTTTTACATAAAATGACTAGAACCACATTTTGGATCAGAGTTCAATAAGGAGGACTTGGTGACGTCACAATGGATCATAAGGATATTCTTCGGAGAAACCACGTATATCTGAAGGACCACCTTAATGTGACATGTGTCCTGGACCATCTCTACCAAGAAGGAGTATTCACGGACTGTGAAGTAGAAGAGTGTCGTGCTGGAGATATCTGCTCTAAACAGTGTAATACCCTCTTGGATACCATGCGGAGGAAGGATGCTGATGGTTATAGAACCTTTTGTGCCATTCTACACAATGTCCAGCCGAAAGTAAAGAGCCATCTAGACAAGGACGGTAAGGATATTGATATGTATGAGTGATGTAAATGGGGTTTAATCTTTAAATGAAACTCACAACTTTTATAACAACTGACTGACTGACTGACTGAGTTTGGTTTTATGCCGCTTTTAGCAATATTCCAGCAACATCACGGCGGGGGACACCAGAAAATAGGCTTCCCATATTGTACCCATGTGGGGATTCGAACCCGGGTCTTCGGCGTGCCGAGAAAACGCTTTAACCATTAGGCTACCCCACCGCCCCATTTATAACAACGCTACAACAGAACAAGTTTTAGGTTCCTCTGATAGTTTCACGAGAGTTAAGAGCAACAAAACCTCAATTTATGCATTGGGAAAACATAAGGAGATTCGATAACTTGTTTTATCAAAGTATGACAGAGTGCTATTTAATTCGTTCGTTGGCATGTTGGTTTACGAAAATATTACTTCCATCTTCATTATATTTATTCATACCTACCCATATATAAGAACTGTAAGTCTACATGGTCTCCAGTGTGGTGATGTGCCTTTAGTTGCTGGCGATCTATATATATAGAACTGTAAGTCTACATGGTCTCCAGTGTGGTGATGTACCTTTAGTTGCTGGCGATCTATATATATAGAACTGTAAGTCTACATGGTCTCCAGTGTGGTGATGTATCTTTAGTTGCTGGCGATCTATATATATAGAACTGTAAGTCTACATGGTCTCCAGTGTGGTGATGTACCTTTAGTTGCTGGCCATCTATATATATGAAACTGTAAGTCTACATGGTCTCCAGTGTGGTGATGTACCTTTAGTTGCTGGCGATCTATATATATAGTACTGTAAGTCTACATGGTCTCCAGTGTGGTGATGTACCTTTAGTTGCTGGCGATCTATATATATAGAACTGTAAGTCTACATGGTCTCCAGTGTGGTGATGTACCTTTAGTTGCTGGCGATCTATATATATAGAACTGTAAGTCTACATGGTCTCCAGTATGGTGATGTGCCTTTAGTTGCTGGCGATCTATATATATAGTATTGTAAGTCTACATGGTCTCCAGTGTGGTGATGTACCTTTAGTTGCTGGCGATCTATATACATAGTACTGTAAGTCTACATGGTCTCCAGTGTGGTGATGTACCTTTTAGTTGCTGGCGGCGATCTATATCTATAGTACTGTAAGTCTACATGGTTTCCAGTGTGGTGATGTACCTTTAGTTGCTGGCGATCTATATATATAGTACTGTATGTCTACATTGTCTCCAGTGTGGTGATGTACCTTTAGTTGCTGGCGATCTATATATATAGTACTGTAAGTCTACATGGTCTCCAGTGTGGTGATGTACCTTTAGTTGCTGGCGATCTATATATATAGTACTGTAAGTCTACATGGTCTCCAGTGTGGTGATGTATCTTTAGTTGCTGGCGATCTATATATTTAGAACTGTAAGTCTACATGGTCTCCAGTGGTGATGTACCTTTAGTTGCTGGCGATCTATATATATAGTACTGTAAGTCTACATGGTCTCCAGTGTGGTGATGTACCTTTAGTTGCTGGCCATCTATATATATAGAACTGTAAGTCTACATGGTCTCCAGTGTGGTGATGTACCTTTAGTTGCTGGCGATCTATATATATAAGTACTGTAAGTCTACATGGTCTCCAGTGTGGTGATGTACCTTTAGTTGCTGGCGATCTATATATATAGTACTGTAAGTCTACATGGTCTCCAGTGTGGTGATGTGCCTTTAGTTGCTGGCGATCTATATATATAGGACTGTAAGTCTACATGGTCTCCAGTGTGGTGATGTACCTTTAGTTGCTGGCGATCTATATATAAAGAACTGTAAGTCTACATGGTCTCCAGTGTGGTGATGTGCCTTTAGTTGCTGGCGATCTATATATATAGAACTGTAAGTCTACATGGTCTCCAGTATGGTGATGTGCCTTTAGTTGCTGGCGATCTATATATATAGTACTGTAAGTCTACATGGTCTCCAGTGTGGTGATGTACCTTTAGTTGCTGGCGATCTATATACATAGTACTGTAAGTCTACATGGTCTCCAGTATGGTGATGTACCTTTAGTTGCTGGCGGCGATCTATATCTATAGTACTGTAAGTCTACATGGTTTCCAGTGTGGTGATGTACCTTTAGTTGCTGGCGATCTATATATATAGTACTGTATGTCTACATTGTCTCCAGTGTGGTGATGTACCTTTAGTTGCTGGCGATCTATATATATAGTACTGTAAGTCTACATGGTCTCCAGTGTGGTGATGTACCTTTAGTTGCTGGCGATCTATATATATAGTACTGTAAGTCTACATGGTCTCCAGTGTGGTGATGTATCTTTAGTTGCTGGCGATCTATATATTTAGAACTGTAAGTCTACATGGTCTCCAGTGTGGTGATGTACCTTTAGTTGCTGGCGATCTATAAATATAGTACTGTGTAAGTCTACATGGTCTCCAGTGTGGTGATGTACCTTTAGTTGCTGGCGGCGATCTATATATATAGTACCTGTAAGTCTACATGTTTTCCAGTGTGGTGATGTACCTTCAGTTGCTGGCGATCTATATATACAGTACTGTAAGTCTACATTGTCTCCAGTGTGGTGATGTACCTTTAGTTGCTGGCGATCTATATATATAGTACTGTAAGTCTACATGGTCTCCAGTGTGGTGATGTACCTTTAGTTGCTGGCGGCGATCTATATCTATAGTACTGTAAGTCTACATGGTTTCCAGTGTGGTGATGTACCTTTAGTTGCTGGCGATCTATATATATAGTACTGTATGTCTACATTGTCTCCAGTGTGGTGATGTACCTTTAGTTGCTGGCGATCTATATATATAGTACTGTAAGTCTACATGGTCTCCAGTGTGGTGATGTACCTTTAGTTGCTGGCGATCTATATATATAGTACTGTAAGTCTACATGGTCTCCAGTGTGGTGATGTATCTTTAGTTGCTGGCGATCTATATATTTAGAACTGTAAGTCTACATGGTCTCCAGTGTGGTGATGTACCTTTAGTTGCTGGCGATCTATAAATATAGTACTGTAAGTCTACATGGTCTCCAGTGTGGTGATGTACCTTTAGTTGCTGGCGGCGATCTATATATATAGTACTGTAAGTCTACATGTTTTCCAGTGTGGTGATGTACCTTCAGTTGCTGGCGATCTATATATACAGTACTGTAAGTCTACATTGTCTCCAGTGTGGTGATGTACCTTTAGTTGCTGGCGATCTATATATATAGTACTGTAAGTCTACATGGTCTCCAGTGTGGTGATGTACCTTTAGTTGCTGGCGATCTATATATATAGTACTGTAAGTCTACATGGTCTCCAGTGTGGTGATGTATCTTTAGTTGCTGGAGATCTATATATTTAGAACTGTAAGTCTACATGGTCTCCAGTGTGGTGATGTACCTTTAGTTGCTGGCGATCTATATATATAGTACTGTAAGTCTACATGGTCTCCAGTGTGGTGATGTACCTTTAGTTGCTGGCGATCTATATATATAGTACTGTAAGTCTACATGGTCTCCAGTGTGGTGATGTACCTTTAGTTGCTGGCGATCTATATATATAGTACTGTAAGTCTACATGGTCTCCAGTGTGGTGATGTACCTTTAGTTGCTGGCGATCTATATATATAGTACTGTAAGTCTACATGGTCTCCAGTGTGGTGATGTACCTTTAGTTGCTGGCGATCTATATATATAGAACTGTAAGTCTACATGGTCTCCAGTATGGTGATGTGCCTCTAGTTGCTGGCGATCTATATATATAGTATTGTAAGTCTACATGGTCTCCAGTGTGGTGATGTACCTTTAGTTGCTGGCGATCTATATACATAGTACTGTAAGTCTACATGGTCTCCAGTGTGGTGATGTACCTTTAGTTGCTGGCGGCGATCTATATCTATAGTACTGTAAGTCTACATGGTTTCCAGTGTGGTGATGTACCTTTAGTTGCTGGCGATCTATATATATAGTACTGTATGTCTACATTGTCTCCAGTGTGGTGATGTACCTTTAGTTGCTGGCGATCTATATATATAGTACTGTAAGTCTACATGGTCTCCAGTGTGGTGATGTACCTTTAGTTGCTGGCGATCTATATATATAGTACTGTAAGTCTACATGGTCTCCAGTGTGGTGATGTATCTTTAGTTGCTGGCGATCTATATATTTAGAACTGTAAGTCTACATGGTCTCCAGTGTGGTGATGTACCTTTAGTTGCTGGCGATCTATATATATAGTACTGTAAGTCTACATGGTCTCCAGTGTGGTGATGTACCTTTAGTTGCTGGCCATCTATATATATAGAACTGTAAGTCTACATGGTCTCCAGTGTGGTGATGTACCTTTAGTTGCTGGCGATCTATATATATAGTACTGTAAGTCTACATGGTCTCCAGTGTGGTGATGTACCTTTAGTTGCTGGCGATCTATATATATAGTACTGTAAGTCTACATGGTCTCCAGTGTGGTGATGTGCCTTTAGTTGCTGGCGATCTATATATATAGGACTGTAAGTCTACATGGTCTCCAGTGTGGTGATGTACCTTTAGTTGCTGGCGATCTATATATAAAGAACTGTAAGTCTACATGGTCTCCAGTGTGGTGATGTGCCTTTAGTTGCTGGCGATCTATATATATAGAACTGTAAGTCTACATGGTCTCCAGTATGGTGATGTGCCTTTAGTTGCTGGCGATCTATATATATAGTACTGTAAGTCTACATGGTCTCCAGTGTGGTGATGTACCTTTAGTTGCTGGCGATCTATATACATAGTACTGTAAGTCTACATGGTCTCCAGTGTGGTGATGTACCTTTAGTTGCTGGCGGCGATCTATATCTATAGTACTGTAAGTCTACATGGTTTCCAGTGTGGTGATGTACCTTTAGTTGCTGGCGATCTATATATATAGTACTGTATGTCTACATTGTCTCCAGTGTGGTGATGTACCTTTAGTTGCTGGCGATCTATATATATAGTACTGTAAGTC